TTTGTCAACGAATTTAACGTTAAAACCAAAATGTTATGGCATGGATATATTTTCAAGGTGAGTAAACAACCGACATTTCAAACATAAAGATTCAAACATAACGATGTGGTTTAAGTAACCTTATGTTCCTTTTTACTTGACAATAAAAATGACGTCATTCAAAGATGCATTATTAACCCTCAATTTAACTTCTGGCTTTATTACTACCAAGTGTTGTCAAATACCTACTGGCTATAAGATAATAACTGCCTAAAAGCGAAAACCTTCTCTATTTTACAATGACGTGCGGAGAGGACCAGGCAATTACTGTTTCGTTTATGTCTGTGGGTAACTGTCAAGACATAGGCCTACTGTCTTTCACATTTCAACTTTTGGGTCTTGAAAAGTAAAGTTAAATAATAGCATCTAGATTACGTAATTGTTGCACCAGGAAATAAACTGTTGTAGGCTATATTTTCGTCAACTGCAGGGCCATCGAAATAATTATACAGAATGGGCCTAAGCGCTGATAAATCAGCAGGCCTAGAGAAAAACATTGCATTTTAATGGTGCGTCTTATATGACCCTGCAACAGTTTAGGCCTTTGTCAGAAATAGTTATATCGGTGACTGAGAACAATACACCAACCGACTAAAATGTCCAATAATACAACCTATTATCTTACTCATGAAGTGAGTTAATTAATATCAACGCGCAAAAGTCCACTATAACCTATTTTTAATGACTAGTTACAGATACAAGGGAAATGAGTAATCACTCACACACTAGTTGACAAGTGTGATTCCTTAGATGCCAGGCTGCATATTTTCCGTATATTTTCAGGGGCTTCGTTTTGGTTGGACGAGGAAACTGCAACAGCGCTCCACGTTTGCTCTCAGTGGAACCTTTAAAAGGTATTCAAAAAAGTAGCATAAACTGAGATTTTAACTAAATATATATAATTCAAAGTTACAGATATGCTATAATGAAAATGTAGGCTAGTAGATCACCCGATTGCTTTCCTGAAACGGCTCAGATAACCATTTACTGAACTCAATGTGCACTTCAAAGGGCATGATGTTCATTTCAGATGGCTCATTTTATTGTGTGTTTAAGGAGAGGAGAGACCACAGCAGCAGTAACCTCAAAGAGGATAGTGTCAAGTTTACACTTTGAAATGGTGGCCTGAACAGAAATAATTATATTTTTTCCCAAGCCGTGGAGGTAAATATAACTCACTGCAGACCCTATGTAGATTACAGCCGCTATGTTCAAAGTGTGAAGGATTATGGTGAGGAAACATGGAGCTCTGCATGTGAAAGCTTGGGCTCTTTGGCTTGATCAAAGGGAGAAGATGAGAACAACTGTGAGAGGCTAGAGGGAGGGGGTGGGGGCAAATGGGGTTTGGATACTTTGGCACCAATGAACCCTGCAAACTGAGTGCAAGGATCCAGGGTGGTGGAAGCAGGCTCCTGGGCTGCAAGGAAGGAAGGGAGGGGGTTGGTGGATCATTTTATGGATGTGCTTCTATATACAAGGGCATCATGAACCCCAAAAAAAAGGTTTCCTGAGCTGAAATAAAAGATCCAAGAAATGTTCCATACGCACAAAAAACATATTTCTCTCAAATGTTGAGCAGAAATTTATTTAAATCCCTGTTAGTGAGCATTTCTGCTTTGCCAAGATAATCCATCCACCTGACAGGTGTGGCATATCAAGAAGCTGATTAAACAGTATGTTAATTACACAGGTGCACCTTGTGCTGGGGACAATAAAAGGCCACTCTAAAATGTGCAGTTTTGTCATACAACACAATGCAACAGATGTCTCAAGTTTTGAGGGAGCGTGCAATTGGCGTACTGACTAGAGGAATGTCCACTAGAGCTGTTGCCAGATAATTGAATGTTAATTTGTGTCTCCTGAGTGGCGCAGTGGTCTAAGGCACTGCATCGCAGTGCTAACTGTGCCACTAGAGATCCTGGTTCGAATCCAGGCTCTGTCGCAGCCGGCCGCGACCGGGAGACTCATGGGCGGCGCACAATTGGCCCAGCGTTGTCCAGGGTAGGGGAGGGAATGGCCGGCAGGGATGTAGCTCAGTTGATAGAGCATGGCGTTTGCAACGCCAGGGTTGTGGGTTCGATTCCCACGGGGGGCCAGTATAAAAAGATATGTATTCACTAACTGTAAGTCGCTCTGGATAAGAGCGTCTGCTAAATGATGTAAATGTAAATGTAATTTCTCTACCATAAGCCGCCTCCAACGTTGTTTTAGAGAATTTGGCAGTACGTCCAACTGGCCTCACAACCGCAGACCACGTGTAACCACGCCAGCCCAGGACCTCCACATCCGGCTTCTTCACTTGCGGGATCGTCTGAGACCAGCCACCCGGACAGCTGACGAAACTGAAGAGTATTTCTGTCTGTAATAAAAACGTATTCTGATTGGCTGGGCCTGGCTCCCAAGTGGGTGGGCCTATGCCCTCCCATGGCTGCGCCCCTGCCCAGTCGTGAAATCCATAGATTAGGGTCTAATTTATTTATTTCAATTCACTGATTTCCTTATATGAACTGTGTCAGTAAAATCGTTGAAATTGTTGCATGTTACGTTTATATTTTTGTTCAGTATACGTGAGGATGGCTGATCCAGCCCCATTCATAAATTAGAGCATTTTGAATTTTTAAAACACCTGAAACTGCTTTTTCCTGCAATCTGGAGCCATAATCATTATACTTAATCTCATGTAAAAAATGTTTATTTTTCTGCATATCTAAGCATACTTCTTGAGCTGTCTGTATACTCTTGACTGGTGGTTATTTTATTTAAAGAAACTAAATATGCTTCTCTGCAAAAATCTGGGTAAAAGTTTGAAAGGAATGTGTGTCTTACTCAGCACATTTAGTAATGGTTTGCTTTTCTAAAGTCTACCAACCTTGCCAGTAGGCATGCCAGCTAAAATAGTTAGACAAGCTAGCTACTCTAACTTGATTGATAGCCTGAAATTGATTATTGGTAGCTAGTTATGAAGTTGTGAACCTATCTGGGCTAGCTAAAGCAAACTTTATAACATTGCTAGGTGGCTAGTAGTATTACAGAGAAACGTTTCAATTAGTTATTTATTTTTTAAACAGGACAAATCTGAGGCAGTACGTACCTCTGTGCCCCCTATGGGCATGACACCTCCGCCTATAAAAGTCCACACAGGAGCGGCCACTGAGTGGGCCTCTAATCCAGGCCGCTCTAGGGCTAGAGACGCCAAGCAGATCAATCAATTAAAACATTTAGGCCCCAGCCAGCACGGGTAATTACGGCCTTCCCGGTACTGCCTGTGAAAAGGGAAGTGAGGATCCTCTTCATTAGACCCACTTCCAAGCATCAGGGTGCAATCTGACACTTGCCAGATTATAAGCAAGACAAAGGGTTTAGTGTAGTGGGTGAAAATGCACCTCCACTTTTGGACCCAGAGCTTTGTTGGGGATGTACATGTTGATACACAACGAGAGCCGTTGTTAGTGGCCTAAGCACTTTCGGAAGGGTATATTATGACCTCAAAGTAGACTTTAAGGGATTTCGGCAGGCACTTTGTTGTAAGCAACCCTTGGTACAGGCAACACAGGGGCATCACATACAGCAGGGCCACTAATTGTAACATGAGATCCCAAGCCTGGGTTGAAAAAATGACCAATGGGGAACTAATTCCATGGCTGAACAATAGTTTAAAATCATATCCAAAGGATACCGGGCTTTAGAGCTATAGCCTATGATATCAAGTTTGTATAAATCAGCAATTACACCTAATTTGGTTGCGCAAGTGATGAAAAAGTGACACTTCTAGGCTATACGTCAACAATATGATTGTTCCACCATCTTGACAATAGCTAGGTTGCACTGAATGTAAAGAGAATATACATATTTATCACCTTATGTAGAACGGTTAGGTGATGGAACTTAAGCCGTCACTTGAATGAGCATTCTAAATAGACAGAGTAGGCTACAGATGATCAGTTGGCTTGGTTATCTTCGTCTCCTAATTGATTCAATAAAGGGGTGTGTATGGCGCCACCTGCAGATTACTTTCTAACCCACTGCACAAGCATATTGGTTACACATGAGCCATTTTTAGAGACAGCAGAGGAGCCAGGCATGTGTTTGTGCATAACTGCATGTAGTAGCATTAACATACAACAGTTGGATGGAAAAAGTACCATTAGTATCAACATTTTGTAGTAATGCTTTTCCTGTAAACAGAAGACTACAAAAAGTGTGGACCAAAAACATTTTATGAAAATATCTAGTTTCACATGTACATGGAATCTGCTGGTAAGGTATTCTCAAACTAATGAAAAGACACTAATGAAAAAAATCACATTTTCAATTTAACGTTGCTGGTGGAATTAGATTACATAGCTGAAACATACTGAAATAGCTCCTAAGGTTGTTGTTTTTTACTTAATACCTGAGCAATTTCCCTCTAAAAACAGTTGAGCACCATTCCTTGTAGAAAGGAAATTTGCACGGTAATACCAATTCTTGATAAACACAGCGCATCTTTTCAAACATAAAAACCAAATGGAAAACCTCACCTTCAAAAAGGTATAATTAATAGTCTAGAATGATCTGTTTTTATAGATTTAACAAATCCCCAGGGGACGGTATAAAAATCTATTTCATCCCCAATAAAAACAATTAAATTCTTCACAATAAAACAATTGTGGAAAACCTCACAGGTAGAAAATAAATAACCAATCAATATTTTGTTTACTTGGACACAGTCCAGGGCATTTTAAAATTGTCAATATCATCCTAAACATATGACTAACCAATTGTAAAAAAAAAAATGAAAAAAATGCATCTCCTGAGCATGACATTTTGTTTTTTTCTCTGAATATAAATTCATAATTCTGTTTTGATCAGGATATACACAATGAGTATGCGACAAAAATCTGTAAAATAATAAAAATAAAATAAAGTCCTTTAAAAAGTGAAAAATATTCACAATACTGTTCTTAAATTCCCATAGTGCTTCAGTATCGTCTCCACCGGCCATCTCTGGAGCCATCCCTCCACCTGTCATCTCTGCTACGGACGCCTCCGCTGCTCCCGCTCCTGTCATCATGGTTATAGTGTTCACCTCGCTGGTTATCTTGCTGGCTGCGATGGTGGCGGTTGGAACCGGTGTCATCAGAGCCTCCTGGGTACCGCTGGTCCCTGCCGTAGTGGCTGCTGCTGTCCTGCTGGTACCCCTGCCTGTTGCCTCGCTGTGAGGAGCTGTCCTGTTTCCAGGACCCACCACCACTCTGTGGCTGTAGCTGTTGTGGTGGTGGCTGCCCCAAAAGCCCAATGCCGCCGGCTGCGAAGCCTCCATTCACCCCCTGGAGGTGCTGCATCTGGAGCTGCCACATGTTGTTCATCTGTTGAAAGGGCCCAAAGAGAATCACTTTTACTGATCCATGTAGACTGGTTAAAATGTTCATGACAACTGGTTAAATGTTCATGACACATAGCTATGTAGTCAAGTTTGTATTCTACACAGGATACACATGGTACAGTCGTGGTCAAAAGTTTTGAGAATGACACAAATACTAATTTTCACAAAGTCTGCTGCCTCAGTTTTAATGATGGCAATTTGCATATATTCCAGAATGTCATGAAGAGTGATCAGATGAATTACAAAGTCCCTCTTTGCCATGAAAATGAACTTAATCCCCCAAAAAACATTTCCACTGCATTTCAGCCCTGCCAAAAAAGGACCAGCTGCCATCATGTCAGTGATTCTCTCGTTAACACAGTTGAGAGTGTTGACGAGGACAAGGCTGGAGATCACTGTCATGCTGATTGAGTTAGAATAACTGACTGGAAGCTTTAAAAGGAGGGTGGCGCTTGAAATCATTGTTAATCCTCTGTTAACCATGGTTACCTGCAAGGAAACATGTGCCGTCATCATTGCTTTGCACAAAAAGGGCTTCACAGGCAAGGATATTGCTGCTAGTAAGATTGCACCTAAATCAACCATTTATCGGATCATCAAGAACTTCAAGGAGTGAGGTTCAATTGTTGTGAAGGCGTCGTCAGGGCGCCCAAGAAAGTCCAACAAGCGCCAGGACGTCTCCTAAAGTTGATTCAGCTGCGGGATCGGGGCACCACCAGTGTAGAGCTTGCTCAGGAATGGCAGCAGACAGGTGTGAGTGCATCTGCACGCATAGTGAGGCGAAGACTTTTGGAGGATGGCCTGGTGTCAAGAAGGGCAGCAAAGAAGCCACTTCTCTCCAGGAAAAACATCAGGGACAGACTGATATTCTGCAAAAGGTACAGGGATTGGACTGCTGAGGACTGGGGTAAAGTCATTTTCTCTGATGAATCCCCTTTCCGATTGTTTGGGGCATCTGGAAAACACCTTGTCCGGAGAAGACAAGGTGAGCGCTACCATCAGTCCTGTAGTCCCCTGTAGCTCAGTTGGTAGAGCATGGCGCTTGCAACGCCAGGGTTGTGGGTTTGTTTCCCACGGGGGGGCAGTATGAAACATTTATGCATTCACTAACTAAGTCGCTCTGGATAAGAGCGTCTGCTAAATGACTAAAATGTAAATGTAATGCCAACAGTAAAGCATCCTGAGACCACGACTGTACACAGTAGAATTAAATGCTTACTTGCAGGTTCACATGTCAACAATGTGACATAAGGGTCACTACTGGAGATGAGGACAGTGTGTAATTGAATGGCTTGACAAGCGTAATGGTCAGTGTGGATGGCAGTAAGCTCACCATGGCCTGTCTCTGCAGACTTTCAGGAGAGGAGAAGGACCTCTGGATGTGCTGAGAGGGTGAAAATGATGGGGAGCCTATCTGGTCTGGGCTCTTGTCATACCTGCACAAGAAACATGTCAAATCCATATCAACTACAGACGAATAGAGAGGCTATTGACGCACAAAAACATCCAACATATGCATACTAACATTGTTTTGAAGGAATTTGCATGTTACAACATACCTGCCCGCAGACCCATGTGGATTGGGAGTATTCATAGGGCTTTGATTCTGGGAGTTCCCTGGACTGTTAATGTGACTGCTTCCTGTAAATATGTATTGAAAGAATGACAGTTCAGTTGCAGGCAGACCCAAATGAACCATTAGCGAGTCAATTCATATGACTTGTAAGGGGTTTACTTTAGTTTACCTGCTCTGAACTGTACTTTGAGAGTTCTTCCAAATAGAGTTGCCCCATTGAGCAGGTTCATGCCATAGGGAACGGACACCTCATGTTTGAAACAGACAAATCCAAACGCTTTCTGTTTTCCATCATTGTCTTTTGGGATTTTCACTTTGAACAAAGGTCCTGCCTGCATCAAAGAGAAAACACAAAACAGAAGATGAGAACACAACTGTAAAATCAAAGTTCGCCAGTTTGCTCGCGGACTTTGAGATGTTCTAGTTCTGGTCCACGCGCATGTTTCGGATCTGCACTGTTAGCTCCATGCGCATCTGGTTTAGTGTATTGGAGTAACAAAACCATGCGCGCGGGGTGATGTGTTACTGTAAAAGGCGACATACGATGGACCAGACCTATATATGCGCTCGCTAATATAGATAGCTAACTAACGTCGTTGCTATAAACGACTACTTAGTTAGCTAAGGAGGAATTAACTATATTGACCTGGATAGCTAGATAATTACGGACCAGAAGCTTCCTGAGCAAAAGTATTTGTCGAATACTGAGAAAGTATCGCAAATACTTTAGCTAGCTAACGTTAGCCAACGAAGCTAGCTAGTTCAAAGCTAGTACTGCACCTGTAAAAATAGCTCGAATAAAAGTTCCTCCGTCACGTTTGGATCCAAATTTCCAACAAAGAGAGTCCTGTCTGTTTCATCCGCTACTCCCATCTCGTTTTAATTATACCAAATGCACTTTATCGGGATGTAAATTTGTAAACAGATGGCAATGCTGCGATATTTATAAAGGAGGTCCCGTGGTACGGCCGTAAAGCAAAACGGCCGTAATTCCTTAGCTGAGTTGCAATAACCATATTATTTTTACGACATATGTCCTTGAGCTCCAGTAAAAAAAGGGCATGCCATCAAATAACATGTAATTAGTTGAGTACACATGAGCCTGGACCCCATTAGGCTTCCTGTTACGTTTTCACTAAATGTTACAATATGCTGATCAGTAACACACAATAAACAGTTAATAGTAAGAAAAGTAGCCTTGGTGAGAGCTTTCTTTTTTAAATGATCAGCTTTCTATACTCAAAATGTTTACCATGCAAGGATTCCTGGGCCTCCCTAGACCTGCTACCTTATCCCGGATATGCTCTTTCAACCCTCTCTCTCTCGCTCTCTCTCACTCTATCGCACCTGCTGTCTCGACCTCTGAATGCTCGACTATGAAAAGCCAACTGACATTTACTCCTGAGGTGTTGACCTGTTGCACCCTCTATAACCACTGTGATTATTATTTGACCCTGCTGGTCATCTATGAATGTTTGAACATCTTGAAGAACGATCTAGCCTTAATGGCCATGTACTCTTATAATCTCCACCGGCACATCCAGAAGAGGACTGGCCACCCCTCAGAGCCTGGTTCCTCTCTAGGTTTCTTACTAGTTTGTCCTTGCCACGAGCTTCTACATCTGCATTGCTTGCTCTTTGGGATTTTAGGCTGGGTTTCTGTATAAGCACTTTGTGCCACCTGCTGATGTAAAAAGGGCTTTATAAATACATTTGATTGATTGATTGATTGATGCAGTGGCAAAGTAGGACTACTGTCCCCAGCTGTCCGATGTGCCGGTGGGAAAGGTGTGAACCCAATGCGCTGGTGATAACTCAGCCTGGCCTCAGAACCATACGAAATATACTTTACGACAGCTTGACAGCTCCAAGATGTAAGACAGCTACTAATGGTCTAGTTGAGACAGAAACAAAAGAAGGGAAGTTGGTCAGGGAGGATGATGAGTAGGCGTAATCCGCGACCGTCTAACAATCTAAAGGTTTCGCATTTGTGTCGCATCGGGGAATCAAATCAAATCAAATTGTATTTGTCACATGCTTCGTAAACAAAAGGTGTAGACTAACAGTGAAGTGCTTACTTACAGGTCATTTTCCAACAATGCAGAGTTAAGATAAAGATACAAAATTAAAATAGAAATAGCGACATGATTAATAAATACACAGTGAATACAACTGTAGCATTTTAGCTAACCCTTCCCCTAACCCTTATTCTAAACTTAACCCAATTCACCTAAGCTGCTACGTAAATTCACCTAACCTAACTCATTTTAGTTCCCCTAACCTTTCACATAAATTGTCCTATCCTTTTTTTGTTAGTTATTCTAAACTTAACCCAATTCACCTAACCTGCTACGTAAATTCACCTAACCTAACTCATTTTAGTTCACCTAACCACCAACCTAAATTCTCCCCCTAATTGTCCTTTGTTGTAAAGCAACAAGCAACCTGGTCTCAGAGAAAGACGTAAAATACTATATACGACCTCCAATATTAATTAAAATAATCAAATTTGTATGCTATTGTACGAACGGTTAAGATGTATGATAATATACATCCTTTAATTCGTATGACATTGTGCGACTGCTATTCTATTCATTATGTAACTTAACGTAGCAGATTTACATACAGAATAATATGAATTGCCATGAGACCACGTTGCATAACTTCTTCTGGGGATCTCTGACATTTCCTGCAGAAAGTAGCCTATTCGTACTAACAGCTCTATAGAGTAGAGAAGGTGATGATTCAAACATGCAGTAATAGTGTGCCCTCCTCCAACTGTGTCCATAGGTCTCCTCATCCCCCTGGAAGTCGATGTGCATGCTGATAAGAATTTCCTGGACAAGTACATGCCCCAGTCCAGTGCATGTGATCGGCTCAGTGACTCAAGCACCCTGCGAGGTATACCCCTGGCCTTGTGGTGATGGCAGCATCATTATAGTGTCGAGGTCAAATTAGCCGTGTGAAAAGCTTGACTTCCTCCCTAATCAGATGGCACTTGAACTGTGTGTGGCTGCTATATTAATTAGATTGATTGAAAGTCTAATGATTTCCCCCATGCCTGGAGAAATCCCATAGAGATTGTGATTGTGCACAAGGACCACACTGAAAAGATAAGAGTAGAATGTCAATGGGACTCTTTTGAAGGCTGTTCTTTTTCCTGCTTTCATGGTCCACAAAGCAGAATTATTTACAGGATACCCACTATTAGGTCTATTTAACTAGGCAGAGAGTGTTCATGAAATGTGCTGTACAGTAAATGTTCTGTGTTCTAGAGGAATTAGTGAATAAAATAAACACGTCATGTAATCTGTATGATTTATTTATGTCATTTTCACAGGATTTATGGCTTTCATTCATAATGTGGCAATAAAATCTATAGTTTAATACTAAAATCATCCAGTCTTTTACAGCCCGGTTTGTTATAGGCATCACGTGTCGTATACAGTATAGGGTAGTTAACACTTGATGTATCGGCACTTTCAGATTAAATATTTATGATTTCAAATGCAGCAAATTTTTGTCAGCTGGCAGCGATAAAAAATCTATACCATAAAACCACACCTGTGCTGCAATGCACTCTGATGACTAATGCACATTCATCTATGATTGGACTCAGAATAGCTATTAGCCCATATATCTCCCTGATGCCTTTTCCCTTTTATAGCATTGGATGGAATTCAGGAGAGCACTAATGAACAGCAGTTCCACAGAACCATTGGACTTAAAGCGGAAATGGATGAAAATAGGTGTAAAATGGAGTAAAGTGGGTAACAACAAGCGGACAGGCTGAACTTGTGAAGGAGACAGAGCAGAAAGAGTCGCTTTGAGTAAGAAAAAAACTAAGAGATGCTGAAAGAAAACAAAGGTTGTGCTGAGCCTTTTTTATTTCCTGAATACATCTGTTTAGTAGACTTTCTCCATGGAATTTTGGATGAAACCTAAATCTTGTCATATTTTGGATTAATAATATGAAATTCCAATTGGGATTGCTCTCTATTCAAGTGGAATAGCATTTTTTTTTAAACAGCAGGGAGTTAACCCATTGATTTCTCTCCAGAGTAGCAGCAGATGGCAGTGTTGTTCCAATGATAGACTGCATCTTTATGAAGAACACACTGGTTTGATTTGCTTGCGGTAACAAGGGCATAGCCTACTATTGAGCTTTTGTAAAAGCAAAAAAGAGAAAGAAAAAACAATCTTAATGGGAAGAGAAATATGCACTTTTGAGTCTGGCCTTACTGAGTGTACCTGGATTCTATTTCATAGACAATCTTATTTGTACATAACACAGCGTTAGATAGTGGAACTGACCAATGATGCAGTGCAGATAGGGATTGAATATATTGGAACAGCAACATTGTGTCAATGTTGAAAAATGCTGCTACATTGTGTCATGCAACTAGCTTGGTAAATTGAAAACTGTTCAGCTAATTATTCTCAGAATGACCTCATGGCATATTTAACTATGTAATTATAAATACTTGCTGCATGCAAGATGCATTCACTTAGTAAACACCCACAGCTATAGTATATGCCTCATCGCTTGTCTCGCTACGGTAAGATAAATTGACATGTTGGCCCTAGCTGTATCTCTCTCATCTTAATCTTGTAAGCATAGCATATAACAAGCACTATGGCATTTTATATGTATAAAATAATTAAGGAGACACTTAAGTGTATTGAAAGATTGGAATGTTGGCATTGCACTTCTTGTCAGAGAACTGAAATGTTACATACTTAGCATGATTAAACATTGGCCACTTTGGTTTCTGTCTCTGCCCCCATATCTTGGAGCCTGCATTATTTTGATGGAAGTGAATAACGTGACCAAAGGGGAATATCGCTCCGGGGCGAGATGGGAGTGAATGAGCATTCAAAGAAGTGAGACGCAACGACCAGGCCAGCCCAAGAACTAGGCGACTAGCCTGTGGTGAAATCACGTATGGGTTTTGTTCCTCCACATAAGTCCCCCCTCCTGGGAGGAAGCGACTGTTGCTGTGGCAATACACTGGTGGCTGGTCTCATCCCTTGGCCCTCGTCTCTGGCTCAATTTATCCATCCTTTCATTCATTAATATTCATCATTCATGTGGAATTAAGTGATTTGGGATCATTAAATGAACATTAATATTTGTCGGATGAAACTTTAATCAAGCCATCCCTCTCACGTGGCGCATGACGTCATCAAGCAGCTTCCCGTTCAGTACGCTCAGCTCTGGTTTAATGGCCTGTAACTTTATAAGTGCTACTCAGTGCTTATACCACCATGCCAGCTCCCCCTTTCACTGCCTTATTTTACACCTCTTGCACTCTGACCGGCCAGTCTAGTCTAAGATGGTTTTGAATGGTTTTAGGTGGCACTGAGAGGGTGTGGATCAATCATACTTAATTCAATAGAGTGGCAGAGTCAAATTCGTGCACTTATCAAGAGAACATCCATGGCCATCCCTACTACCTCTGATCTGGCAGACTCACTAACCACACATGCTTCGTTTGTTTATTTATTTCACCTTTATTTAACCAGGTAAGCCAGTTGAGAACAGGTTCTCATTTACAACTGCGACCTGGCCAAGATAAAGCAAAGCAGTGCAATAAAAACAACACAGAGTTACATATGGGGTAAAAAACATAAAGTCAAAAATACAACAGAAAATATATATACAGTGTGTGCAAATGTAGCAAGTTATGGAGGTAAGGCAATAAATAGGCTATAGTGCAAAATAATTACAATAGTATTAACACTGGAATGCTAGATGTGCAAGAGATTATGTGCAAATAGAGATACTGGGGTGCAAAAGAGCAAAATAAATAACAATATAGGGATGAGGTAGTTGGGTGGGCTAATTTCAGATGGGCTGTGTACAGGTGCAG